GGGTTGAGGGGCCTCGCGCTAAAATCTGCCGCGGGCCTCGCGCGACGTTAATCCGGCCCTGACTACATCCCGTCCATCCCTTTTAGACATTACCCATCTGTTATAAGGCTTCCTATAGATTCGTTTCTACCATACTTCCAGAGATCGTCAACATTATAACAGACAGTCAAGGGCCTAATTTTGAGCCTTGTGTGACGCCTGCCGGTACTTCATTCCATTCGGAAAAGCAGCCATTAATACTTCATTTCATCACAGGTTCGTCAGGAAATCTATAGTCCAATACATGATGCCTGATGGTTTTAGGGATGTTATATGTTGTGAGCTTCTCCAATAGAGTGTTATGATCCACTAAATCAGAGGCTTTGTGGAAATCAAACAACATAACTCTAGTGTTTTTATTTTTAATCGTTATTCGTTAGTATTTGAATATTCAAAGTTAACTGAACATTTCAGACATGCTGCAGTTTGGGAAGAGAAAACAGAAGCGGGGTTATTCCCAAGTTAGTATCAATGCTATCCATTCTCATTAAGTCGACAGTTATATAATTTTGTAATGGTCAGAAGGCCAAGAAGTTCAGTTAGGTTCATAGGGTTGTGATTGGTGTCAAAAATGAAGAAAACTGGATATTCCTGTCCTTTAATATAGGAAATACTTGGTCGAATGCATCCAATCGAACTAAATTGAAGTGGATGTTGAATGGTATTCCAAGTAATTCCTTTCGTATAAATAGTCATTTGTTCACAATAGTTCAAACGTATATTGCTGAAACTAATAGGTTTTCTCATTAATTATTGCAAAATTTTGTTCCTCTTTATGTATGTTCATGCCTGTGTGTGTGTTTAGTCCTTCTTCATGTATCAGATCTCTTATATATATGCGCGTTTGTATATCTGTGTTACATGTGTAAGTTATATATTTGTATGTGTATAAACGTTTGAAAAATATACATAATAGTTATAGTTTTTAATGAACTGTTCTATATTTTTTTCTCCTATTCTCCTTTCTTTTTAAAAAATCTTGTATGTACTATTACATAAGTTTCCTCGATAAGCCCTATAGTTGCTTTTGAAACAAATGTAAAGTTTATATATTGTTAAATAAAAAAAATATATATTCTATTATATGCTGCACAAATTAAGTATATGTTTAGTTGTCTTTTCCATAATATTCATGTAACATGTGTAATTTGTCGATTCATGATCATCTTTTCTGCAGGGGCCGGTTGTACGTTGTTACAAAGGCCGGATAGCGCTACCCACAGGATAGTGATTTTTTCAACCTTTGTAAAATGCTTGAAAAACTGTGAAACTTCGGAAATAGACGACACAAGAAGTATAAAAAAAAACATTTAACTTATAAATACTAAACTTTAAAAGATAGATAGTTTTATTAAGAATCGTAGCATTACAGCTGTACTCCTGAATTGCGCTACTTTAACAACATATAATTTAAAAATATCTATATAGTTTTGTATAACTGTTTTACTTTAAGCTAAGGTGTCTCATAATGTTATTTGGTTGTTTTCCTATCGTGATTTCTGCTACATGCCATTATAAACGAGTTCGCAAATCGCTTCGCCTTGTTTTCACCAGCGGTATTTCAAAGGTTCTTTTCTTTCGAAGATTGTAGTTCGTGTTCGTGTTGTACTCTGGTAAGAGAGAATGTAGTTTTGAACTTCTGTCCTTGGAGATTTGATCAAAGAGATTCATTGACAAGATTTCATGGTGCTCGCTGATGGTTTCCAGTTTCGTTTTCTTCAGAGCTTCCTGATAAGTGCATTCTGGTAATACTATCGCCAAGGCTCTCTTTTGGATTTTCTCCGATTCTTGTTGAAGATACTTTGGAAGGGAATTGTGAAATAAGGGACAAGCATAATTAATCCAGAGTAGTTCGAATGCGTGAAGAATAGTATGCCACAATATTTTTTACAGGGACATTAGCTCGTTTCAATTGAACAAGAAAATATAATCTACGGGCTGCTTTCTTAATTACTTCTTCGATATGGTTATTCCAAGACAGTATACGAGTTATCAGCAATCAACGACTGATTTAACAAATTAATGCTTGAAAAAATCACTATTCGGTGGATAGCGCTATCCGGCCTTCGTACAACCAGGGCATCTATGAGGTATAACCGGCCCCAGGGGTCAGTTGTACGAAAGGCGTTTAACCAGTCAGTTAAACGGTGTTCAGCCAGCTCTGTCCAGAGAATAAATTCCCAACCTCCCCCACACACCCAAGGCCTTCTCAAAGCCCCGAAATCGAGATCTCGGCGGCGGGTACGAGGTTGATAAATCACCTGTCCAGCAACAGGAGGTGGCAACAGGTGGGGGAAATTGTCCTTCCTGATCAAATATTTATCGCGCGTGCTTTCTTGCCAGCCAGTTTTAATTTGAAAACAACAAAAACTCAGCCTCGGAAGCCTGGCTTGCGAGGTTGGTCTCTCGTACCATGTGACTTCATAAATGCCATAAATGTCATAAATAAAATATGCATTTCCATGAAAGTGGAAGCACTGAGCCTTGGCAACCAGAAAGCAAAAAATGTGCAAGAAAAAATATGAGAATAACAGGACAGGCAAGTGGTTTATTAATTTGTAATTATTTTGTATTTAATAAGACATAGCATAATATTTTAAATCAAACTCTTTAATAGTTGTTGAGAAGTCGAAGCAAAAGGCCATTAAATCAAGTACGATATCTTGACCTTTCAAGTACCAATATCGGTAAAGTTAATTTTAATACTGTTTTGATCGAGTCTAAAAGTCAATTTAATATGTATTTTATTTATATTCAGACGTTTAATACTGTGACAAGCAGTGAGTTTATACATCTGTGGTTACATTGATTATAATTTTGCTATTCTGTAGTGACACTAAATCAGTTAGAGTTATGTCCGAAGTTAACAACATTGATAGCAAATCATAATCATTTGGAAAGTGTCCCAAATTTGGATTGTTGTCCAGAACTATGGAAACTTGATCTTTCACACAATAAGGTAGTTTTTAAGCACTTTCGAATTTTACCAGTTAATCAGACAAAAACATTTTACTGCTAAGAGAAGATCGACCAAGCTGAGAAATAATATTTTTGAAACAGTATTTTCTGAGAAACAATTGTCAGAATTACTATTTCTAAAGTATTTTAACAATTCACACAAACCAATAGCCAATTCCAGCTTTTAGTTTATGCCTGCAGGGGTGATGGGAAGTAAGATATCATATTGCTGATTATGCTGAAAAATGTCAATAAAAACTACCGAGTACCGAAGCAACCAAAATATTTCAATTTATATTTACAAGTATAAGCTATCACTCCGTGTTTAATTACACAGCCACCATTTTTATTTTTCCAGCATAATCAGCAATGTGATACCTTACTTCCCATCGTCCCCTGCATGCATAAACTAAAAGGTGGAATTGCCTATTGACCCTAGAAGTGCTTATGTCACGCAATTTGCCATCTAAACATCTAAGGTATAAGCAATTAATGCAAATATGTGGGATACATATGGGTGAAATATTCATTGTTTGGCAGTGACATGCATGATCTTCTAAGCCTCTAAGGTCAATAATATTCATTTCAGATGTATACAGCTATTTCAATTAAGGTTGTCCCCAAGCAAAGCAGAAAAGTCGATTAATATGAGCGCAAAAAGATTGCTGGGAATCGCTAAAAAATTAATGATTTTTTTAGCGATTCCCAGCAAGTCTTTCGCGCTCATATTCAACTTTTCCACTTTGCTCAGGGACAACCTTAATTAATTTATTAACTTTGCCAAATTCAAATAACATTAACACAAAAACTGGCAGGGCAATCGCAACAGCTTGCGCCAATTACTGTGATCCCTAAATGTTAGAAAAATATACTATGTAGGTACATAGAAAAAAACAATTACTAACAAACTATCAGATACTTTTCATATTGCGACCCACAGGACCACTTCCATTTTTGGAAGCTGACTGAGTATGACAGTAATTAAAATAGCTGTATACTGTATATGAGCAATCATTTGTGACTTCCTTTATTTGATCATTTCTGGGAGTTTGATTGCTGGTTGAGGATAAAAGGTTGATGGTAGAATGTCAAGGATCGAAAAAGTATCGAGGGTGTTGAAAAAAATATTGAGGGTGAAAAAATGTCAATGGTGAAAAAGTTAAAAAGACTTGAGGGTGAAAAAAGTGTTGAGGGTGAAAAAAGTGTTGAGGGTGAAAAAATGTTCAGGGTGAAAAAAATGTCAAGGGTGATTATGGCTCAAGAATTTGTTCTACCTTTCTGAGAGGGAGGACATTTAATTTGAGAGCAACAGAATATAATTTAAATATTTATCTTTATATATACATGTTGCACTGAAAACCAATTGAATATAATGGACAATTTGCATGTTGGGCTAAATTTTGATCTAAGTAAGGGAGCGGTCATTAATTATTGGGGGGGGGGGAGGTCTGGTAAATTTTTATAAAGCAGGGCCCAAAAATACATAACCCATCTAAAATATCAGTCCAAAAAGCTTGGCCTTCCCAATGACTTTGGCCCAAAAAATTGTGGCCCTCCTTTGAGATTTTTTACATTAAAATTTGATTTGTGAATTATGTAATAATTGTGTCATCAATTTTGGGACAACACGTATTTCTTAAATCTCATGCAAAGTCCGAAATTTTTGCTCTTCCCATCCAAGTTCTACAAACTCTCCCCGATCTTGTGTTCTGCAGAAAATCGGAATGTTCTTTTCTTCAATGCCTGCCTTTCACAATTAGGATCTTCATTGTCTTCCTCATCTTCATCGTCTTCAATGTTATATTAGCACTCCCAATTTGCTGTTCCACAATATCTTCTTCATCATCATCACATTCATCGATGTCGTCGTCACTGGCATCATCAGTCATCACGGCTATCTGCCTGTGAGTTGAGTGAGTACAACGACTTAACAATGTCTGATGTTACGATATCCACTTTCTCTCGTTTCAATGCACCTTTTGAGTGCTTTAACTTTCGCTTAGCAATATACAAGTCCAGAACAGCAACTTTCAACTTCACCTGTTCACCATGAGCAATGCAAATCTTCAATCATCCGCAAAAGTGAAGCTAGAAATAAAAATTTAGGCTGGATTCCAAATCCACGTGCAGAAATGAACAAATTCCATAACAATGTTTATGAATCATTCTATTTGGAGCGTAAAGGAGCATACTGTGACACGAAAAAGGACTTCACCCCATGCCGAAGCCAGATATCAGTATGACAATGAGAAGATGATTTCAAAAATCAAGAACCAGCGATAGCATATTAAGTCTGAAAAGGATCCTTTGCAGGCTAGGTATTTTATCAGGGAAAACGGGCCGCCGCAGGGGCGCACATTAGGGGGGTTTGGGGGGGGGGGGTGCGAACCCCCCCCCTAACGTCCGAATATCACTAAAAGTCGGTCCCATTCTTCCTTGATACTGTGCGAAAACTCGGTCCCAAAATTCGGGTATAAGAATTAATATTTACTTCTGTCCGACTCCGTGAATTGGGACCGACAACACAAGAGCTGGTTGGTAAGATGTTATGAACAAGCCTATGTGTATGTGTTAATGTGTAAGAAACTATTTCTTGATTTTTAAACGTCAAATCGTAGCGCACCCGCTAAGGTTTAGATGGTTAATTCAGATTATTTATTATCTTGATTTTATTGTTTTGCTAGTTGTTATTATACACTTCTATTTTTCATTATTTTCAGTATTTTATATGGACGAACGAAAGTAACAATTATATTCGAAGAAATAAACTCGTCTCCCTCTCTCTGCTACTATACGATTTCGCCTGCGAACGGATATTCTCATGACAGCTCATACACATTACTAATAAACACGTCCTGGTATTCACACGCGAGCTCATAGGCCTATACACATGTTTTGATTCTTCAGTTCAGAAAAAGACTTATCTGATTCTATTGATCTGGAACAGATTGAACAAATGCAGAAATTGAGCGAACTATTCAATAAGGGATGAATTTTCTTAATCCGTTCGTACACCTGAACTAGCCTACCGAAAAGGTAGAGTTAAGACTCTGAAATGGTCGTTTCCGGCGACCTAGAGGTCCTAAATGTTGAAAATTTTCTCGCTCGGCGCCAACCATGGTGGCGCCTCGTGAGACTTAACCCCCTGGTTTCAAATACATTCCCACGTCCCTGTTCTGTCGCATGATGTTTTTGCAGAATTGTTTTTACCCTTCTGTTTAATTTATTTTTGAATATCAAAAAGTCGGTCCCCAAGTGGCCCACACCCCCCTAGAAATTCCTTAGATGTGCGCCCCTGCCGGAAAACCATGTGGTAAAACCGCACGATAGTGAAACAACAAAACAGAAGATTAAGTACTGCCAAGAAATAACTTGTCCCCGCGTCTGCCCGCGTCCTGCCTCCAGAGCGCCCGCGTCTTGCGTCCACTCTGCCCGCGTCCTGCCTCCAGAGCACCCGCGTCCGGCCTCCACGACGCCCGCGTCTTGCGTCTACTCTGCCCGCGTCCTGCCTCCAAGCGCCCGCGTCCAGCCTCTAGTTAAAAACTGCGTCCGCTTGGACGCAGTCCTAACATAATCGGAAAAACGAACTAATATTTGCATCATACTCGTAGTTTGTCGTGAGAATACAGATCAGTGTCACTGATCGGAGAAGCAAAGAATAAAAAGTTGAATCCGAAATCGAGTTTCATTGAACCTAAGCTCATTGAAGATGCTCATTTACAATATATATAGTGCTTTTGATTTTTCATATAAAATACCATTACTACGAGCCACTATATAATTTTATTTACAGCAACAAGTTTGTGTTGTTTTTCCAAAGCAGTAAATGCACATGGTGATATGTCATATAAATTGATAATTACCATATAATTTCTGGATAAATGACTTCTCTTAATCCCTTAATGGAATACCTTTACATGTCCAGGAAACAGTCTTTGTGTTTCAACACGGTTCAATGACTGTGACTCATCGCTTGATTTTCAAAGTTGCAGTATAATTCGCTAAAGCTGAAGTGAAGAGCTCAGACTAATATCACTCGATCCGTATTACTATCAGACTCAGTAATACAATGAGGTATCGATCGCTTACTTGTCAACCCGAAAACGTTAAAAGACTTACTGGGTTTAAACCAAACGTTATACGAAGGTGCGAAAGTAGAGATCAAATACGAAAAGGAACTTTACGAAGCACAAATTCTGAAAATTCACGGTAAGTTTAATATTAGAAATATAAATATCTAGGATTCTAGGTCTGTAACGCTTGTGTATATAAGCATAAAAACGTGGTGTGAAATCGCTAACATGAATATTTTCCGACGCCCACGGTTTGTTTATGAAAAGCGAAACGCGATAATTTCCGACGATCTACGAATAGACCTCTTTCTCAGCTGCGTCCTCGCCCGCAGACGCAAAGCGGACGCATGGCGCCCGCACAGTGGACGCACCCGCAAGCGCCCGCAGACGCACAGTGGACGGACGCACGGCGCCCGCAGGACGGACGCACCCGCGGGCGCCCGTGGACGCACAGTGGACGCAAGATACCCGCGTCTTGGACGCGGTTTTTGATAAGTTATTTCTTGGCAGTACTGTACATACAATATAGATGACCTTCAAAACTGTATTGATAAGATTGAAAAGACCCTAAAAGAACACCTTGAAATACCATTCATTCAATATTTGGGCAAATTTTGACAGGACATAATACAGCTCATTATTTTGATGTAGCTTAGTTATCTCAGTTGCAGAGTGTCAAAACTGGATTAACTACTCCACGTACTAGACTTGTGGAACGTCAGGAACCATGTGAATCTGTATTCAGACACAGCTTTTCTGGAATGAAGAGGACGTCACGCTCAAGAAAGCAGAACATTAATAAGTGAAAGAAACGGAAAAGGCGAAACATTCAGAAAGAACGAGAGAGATACTCAGAACTAATTGCACCAGATTTACCTGAAGGAAAAACATGCCTAAAGGAAGATATTCGGCCAGCAATCGTCAGGGGACTCGAAAAAAGTCAGAAAACTGCGCAAACGCTTTAGCTTCTTCAGAATGCAATCTTTTAGATGGTCACGCTAAGGAAGAACTGCGAGGGATCTTAGGTTGGATGGAACCTGAATATGACTTAAGAAGTGCGCGGGGAGATTGGCTATCACGGGGTGAACTAGACCCTCTCCCAACAATTACTGATGAAAATGTTGCAAAAAGACTGAGTGATCTTACCGTCGGGAAGGCAGCCGGTCCATACGACCCATACATGAAATTGATCAAGATGTTCGCGAAATATTTTGCTATCCCTTTGGCCGATAT